GCTGTTGTTGGCTTTGACATTTTTTTCCTACAGCTAGTGAACCCCCCAGCATGTTATCCTATGTGTCCATACACACACAGACTGTAATCAACGTTTTTTGGCTGGAAAAAAACCCAGGATTAGTGGGTTTTTAGAGGAGTTTTTTAGTTGCAAAAACGCTCAAACGCTGAAAAAACATTGAAAAACGCAGCAATACACTGAACCAGCGTTTTTGGACTTTTCTTGACCAAAAAAAATTTTTTTAGCACAAAAATGCAAACGCGGGAAAACACCACTAATCACTGCAAAACACCAGTAAACACTAATGCAAAAACGCAAAAAAAAGCTGTAAAACGCACTTTTTAATGTGACTTCACACAGCTAACATTACCAGCGTTATCAAAATGTCCCGTGTGCATGAGGGCTAATCCAACAAGCTGAAGTTAGAAGCTGATTGGCTACTATGCACAGCTGCACCAGATTTGGCATTCTCCTGTTTTAGTAAATCAACCCCAATGACTTTCCTGACTCTGCAAAAACTAACACTGACTGAAAGAATATGGAAGAAACAGGGAGGGTCTTGCTAGGACTAAACTAACTAACCCTAAACAGGAGGGGAGGAAAGAGGAAGATACCAAAATCCAATTAGTAAACAAGCTGCAGTGGCCCAAAACCACCACTAGATGTCAGCATGTTACAGTAATAACCTCATGCAGTTCATTACAAGACATAAAAATACATGAAAGTGGGGCAGAGGACAAGGAATTCTGTGAAAGGTGGCAGTGTGGAGCTAGCGCACCCCCCCCCCCACGTTCTGAAAGTGCAGCTCCTCGGCAAAGGATGCAAAAGATCGCAGCTATCGCTGCATGTAGCATGGTCTACAACAGTGATTGTCACCTTCCGCAGTGGCCCATCAGGTATGAGATGTGCATACTTGCACCGTGCCAAGCTGGACGAACAGAACTATACAGATCATACCTGGAGACCAGCTTTAAAGGATAAAGAAGTGTTTCTGTGCGCTGAATTGGAGCGTCTGAGGTCAGAGACCCCGGCCTACGTGACAAACATATTTCTGGATCCTGAAAAGGTTAGAGCAATTGACGGATGTCTGCGCCGACTATGAGGACGAGACCTTTGCCGGATTGTCGATAATCTTGTCTTTGAGACACCGAAAAACGATGAGGTCTGGGAACTTCCTGTGCTGAACAGAAGTCGGATTTAAGAGCTCCAGAAATATTGGGATTTGTGGTTTGGAGGGCACAAAATTACACGGGGCGAGCCGCTGAATGAAAACGAGCCTTCTAATCCTTTCTACAAACATCCAAAGATGGGGAATTGCGTGCTGTGTCAGACGTCAGGAGAACAGACATACCGGTTCTTCTACAAACAACTGACACCCGTATATAGAGGTGTGATGGTGCGATTCATGCCCGACGGCAGTTTAATTCTACAGAAAATCATTGTATTTGTGTACAGAGGAACACAAAGGAACCTCTCCACCGCCAAAAGATTGCAAATGAAGCCCCCATTCCCAATGACCAGAGAATCCCCAACATTGTCTATGGCAGTGGTGGTCACCTGGAAAGTGATAGAGGGCTTCAAGTGCGCTCGCCAACATTTCCAGAGTGACGCATTTTCTCACCTTAATGCCCAAAACTGTCGGTCCTGCTGCAGAGTATCGCAATGCATACTGACAAGGTGGAGTACGACAACCCCCCTGTATTGGAGGTCATGGAAGTATATGTTAACCCCTCCTCCTCTGCATTGGTGCCTATGGCCCTGAAAGTGTTACCCCCACCGCCCCTGTATTGGTGTCCATGGCACTGAAAGTGTTACCCCCCATCCCTCCTGTATTGGTGTCCATGGCAGTGAAAGTGTTACCCCCATCCCTCCTGTATTGGTGTCCATGGCAGTGAAAGTGTTACCCCCATCCCTCCTGTATTGGTGTCCATGGCAGTGAAAGTGTTACCCCCCATCCATCCTGTATTGGTGTCCATGGCAGTGAAAGTGTTACCCCCCATCCATCCTGTATTGGTGTCCATGGCAGTGAAAGTGTTACCCCCATCCCTCCTGTATTGGTGTCCATGGCAGTGAACATGTTACACCCATCCCTCCTGTATTGGTGTCCATGGCACTGAAAGTGTTACCCCCATCCCTCCTGTATTGGTGTCCATGGTAGTGAAAGTGTTACCCCCATCCCTCCTGTATTGATGTCCATGGCAGCGAAAGTGTTACCCCCCATCCATCCTGTATTGGTGTCCATGGCAGTGAAAGTGTTACCCCCCCCCCCATCCCTCCTGTATTGGTGTCCATGGCAGTGGAAGTGTTACCTCCATCCATCCTGTATTGGTGTCCATGGCAGTGAAAGTGTTACCCCCCATCCCCTTGTATTGGTGTCCATGGCAGTGAAAGTGTTACCCCCCCATCCCTCCTGTATAGGTGTCCATGGCAGTGAAAGTATTACCCCCCCCCACTCCCCCTGTACTGGTGTCCATGGCAGTGAAAGTGTTACCCCCCCCTGTATTGGTGTCCATCAGTTCCGTGTACTGGTGGTCCAGGCAGTGAAAGTGTTACCCCCCCATCCCCCCCATCCCCCCTTCCTGTGTACTGGTGTCCATGGCAGTGAAAGTGTTACTCCCATTGCCCCTGTATTGGTGTCCATGGCAGTGAAAGTGTTACCCCCCATCCCTCCTGTATTGGTGTCCATGGTAGTGAAAGTGTTACCCCCCATCCCTCCTGTATTGGTGTCCATGGTAGTGAAAGTGTTACCCCCCTATCCTCTATGTACTGGTGTCCATGGCAGTGAAAGTGTTACCCCCATCCCTCCTGTATTGGTGTCCATGGCAGTGAAAGTGTTACGTCAGGAGAACAGACATACCGGTTCTTCTACAAACAACTGACACCCGTATATAGAGGTGTGACGGTGCGATTCATGCCCACCGGCAGTTTCATTCTACAGATGAAGAAAATCATTGTATATGTTGTGGGAACTCGCTTCAACGTGGTAGAGCTTTGAAACGCAAACAGCTACTCGCTTTCTTTTTCAGGGCCTTTCTAGCCCACTTTTATTTAAATGAAAGTTCAAACATAATGCTTCCCACGCAGGGGTATCCACCAACAAAACAAAGATTCAGCCTCCTGGCTGACACACAGTTCATTGTCAGTCTCCTGCAGACTCTTCCCAAATTATAGCCACTAGCACACAGCTAGTCTGTCTTCCACCTGACTCCAAGGCAGAGACCTCCCGTCTGCCAGGGTGGAGCCCTGCTGACTCCTAGCTGCCGGGGTGGAGCCCAGAACTCTGGTCCTGACTCTATGAAGAGGCCTGCACACACCTGTGCCATCAGTCTCCTGGCCATTCCCAAAACCTGGTCCCAGGATTGGAGATTTCATCCCTCCCAGATCTCTTTGAAATCTCCAGGCTCCAGCTCCCAAAACAGACCTTAGAAACAAAGGAGAGTGAAAAGCCAATTTCCTCCGTATCAAACACTTACCCTGGAGCCCCTCAACCTGCATTGTTGAGAATCCTGGGTGACTGATCACCACACTGTCACAATGTGTACAGAGCAACACAAAGGAACCTCTCCATCGCCAAAAGATTGCAAATCAAGCCCCCATCCTCTGTGTACTGGTGTCCATGGCAGTGAAAGTGTTACCCCCCATCCTCTGTGTACTGGTGTCCATGGCAGTGAAAGTGTTACCCCCCATCCCTCCTGTATTGGTGTCCATGGCAGTGAAAGTGTTACCCACCATCCTCTGTGTACTGGTGTCCATGGCAGTGAAAGTGTTACCCCCCATCCTCTGTGTACTGGTGTCCATGGCAGTGAAAGTGTTACCCCCCATCCCTCCTGTATTGGTGTCCATGGCAGTGAAAGTGTTACCCACCATCCCTCCTGTATTGGTGTCCATGGCAGTAAAAGTGAACCCCTCATTTTACAGTGTATTATGTAACAATGTAAATATGTAACTGTGCATCTATTTGTGGCCTTCTCTGCAACTCCCACAACTCTGCTCTCTCTTCTTGTGCAGGGTGACTGGTCTTGTCTCCGCCCCCCTAGTTTTCTGTAGTGGGTGGGGCCTTCTGGGCAACTCCCACAGCTCTGCTCCCTCTACTTGTGCAGGGTGACTGGCCTTGTCTCCACCCCCTCCTGTAGTTTTCTGTAATGGGTGGAGCCTGCTGGACCCCTCCTAAAGCTCTGCTCTGTGTACAATCTACATACAGCACAGTGATGATGATGTCACTGCTACTTTTACAAGGTAACATCTGGGTTTGCAAAGGCATTCGATGCGCGCAGAGTGGATTTATATCCTTGGCAGCTATTGAGGAATAAAGCTGAATGAAAGTTTTTGTGGCCGGAGTTCAGCTTTAAATAAACATCAGGATCTCCATGTTTCCTGTATTCCGATGTTCCCGCAGCGGATGTCTGATAAATAGGATGTTACAAACCTGCGTTTGACGCCAATGATGCACTCAGCGAAAAGTCTGTTTGCAGCCGCCGCGGCACGGCTCCAGCACCTTATTACCTGCTGCAACAGCTGCCCACCAATCATGCTGAGTGCCCCCCCCCCCTTCATTACATCCCTCTCTGCAGATCAGCAGCGATCCTTAGCGGGCAGCCAGATTAATGGAGGAAAGGCTGGCAGCGGGATCGGACGCACACTGCGACTGTCAGAGCCGAGTGGAAGGTTAATTGCCTGACTTCCAAAAAAAAGGCAAACTGTGCTTTGGGCAGAGAAAAAGCCGAAACGACAAACTTACCGCTACTCCAAGAGAGCCAATCATGACCCTTCCTCTATTATCCGTGCAGCTGCACCACCCGCACAGAGGAATGCGGACCCGCGGGTGCTATTAGTTCTAATGGAACGCCGCCTGCACTGGAAAACACAACCGTACCAGGAACCGAGGTACCCATGCAGGCTGCATTTTCGGAAGAAGTGCAGGGACTTCTTTCCCTGCGTATCCCGGGGCACGGGAGTCCATTCAAATGAACGGGCTCTCGTGTCCGCACAAAACGTGGCCCGTACGGCCGCATAGGTGTGAACTGGGGCCTAAACATGACCTCCAGCGCACCCTTCAGTCTTGCACAGGTGTACCGGCTCCTCCCCTCCAGTCTTGCACAGGTGTGCCGGCTCCTCCCCTCCAGTCTTGCACAGGTGTACTGGCTCCTCCCCTTCAGTCTTGCACAGTTGTACCGGCTCCTCCCATTCAGTCTTGCACAGGTGTACCGGCTCCTCCCCTTCAGTCTTGCACAGGTGTACTGGCTCCTCCCATTCAGTCTTGCACAGGTGTACCGACTCCTCCCATTCAGTCTTGCACAGGTTGCACAGGTGTACCGGCTCCTCCCATTCAGTCTTGCACAGGTGTACCGGCTCCTCCCATTCAGTCTTGCACAGGTGTACCGGCTCCTTTCCTGGAGTGAAATTACTTCCTCTGATGTCACTGCACACTCTGAGCGGCTCACAATGTGCATTAGAAGCTGCAGCAAGTCAGATAGAGCTCCGTCCTCATTTCCTGGCTGGGGGACGTCCAGCGTCATAGAGCTCTCCCCTACCTTCCCCCTCAGTATAGAGCCCCCCCCCTCCTCCCCTCCCCCCCAGTATAGATCTCTCTCCCCCCTCTTCCCACCAGTATAGAGCTCTCCCCCCACCTTCCCCATAAGTGCAGAGTCCCTGCCTCCCCTTCACCCCCAGTATAGAGTCCCCCCCCCCCCCCCCCCCCCCCCCCGCAGTTCATTGCTCCAACCACTTTTTCCCTCCTATTATAGAGCTCTCCCCTACCTTCCCCTTCAGTACAGAGCACCCCCCCCCCCCCAGTACAGAGCTCTCCCTCACCAAGCCCTCCCCACAGTAAAGATCTGATTGGGGATATTTAATTTCCCTTCTTATGTGTATCTTCCCAAAGTGAAGGGAAATCCCCTCTTAGTGAGTTGCCTCTCACCTCCCGTTCAGGTGACAACTGTAAAATGTTGTTTCCCATCATTTTCTGTCCCAGTGACTCTGAGTGGGAAAAAGTGGAACAATAAAAGCTTGCCGGGGGTTCTAACCCTTCCCTATTCCATCCAAAACTGAACATAAAGTTTTGGCTTTGGATATATTTTAAGACTTCATAGCCCCTCCATAGAAAATAATCTGGGATCTGACACCCCACCACAATCACCGAACAGTCTGTAGCCGCAATGGCTTCGAATTGGCGTGTATCCAAATACACATTGAGACGATAATTTGTTACTGAAATACGTAACTCACAGCTGCATGGGAAACCGAAATCCCTCCAGATGTGGTCTGGTGTTCACAGTCTGTGGGAGGAATCAAGAGAACGTTGAGCTGTGGACAACCCCTCCATCATCTCAGCCTAGGCCAAGTCAGCGGACTGGAGCCCAGGGATGATTTATTAATGACGAAAGGTGGAACCTTCCTGAGAAATGTTCCTGTTGCTGCATATTGTGACATGTCCAGGGACGGACTGACAACTCATGGGGCCCCCCCGGGCAATAGGGGATCATGGGGCCCCTCTGTCCTTGCCCACACTCAAAGCACACCCAAAAAAGCCTACAAAAGGTACCAGGGGCATTTCATGGGGCCCCCTCTTGACCCAGTGCCCGAGTGCTCGAATGGTCAGTCCGCCCCTGGACATGTCAGAGATTTATGGATACGTGTAGAGAAAAGGCCCATACACACAGTAAACAAATTGTACGAGGAGCGATCGTATGATAACCTGAACGTTAGCTTTCAAGAGCCGATCACAACAGTTCAGGCGATGACAACCGAAGGGGCAAGTGACAACATTTTTCTTGTACGACACTAGATCATACGATACGATCATACAATTGCCCAAAAATACATGAACAGGGGACTAAAGATGGCTGGATCCAGTCCCACTGAACCAAGACCTACCGCCCCCCCCCCCCCCCCTTAAACCTAAGTAACCACACAGACAACAAAATGGAGCTAATGGCCCAAAGCGGCCTTTTATTACAACCATAAATGGACCTTAAGAACTGGATGGACCGTAAGAACCGTGTCTGATCTTGCTGAGTCCATTCTCCTCCATCGGAGGGAAGAATGTCCGCTATGTGTGGAATGTGATCTCCATCTATATCTGAGCCGTATCATCGCTGCGCTGACTGACACATAAACCGTGTGTGATTATTAAACAATAAACCCTCCATAGACAGGAGGGCATACCATTGTGATTGTGTGCTCGGGATGCGATGGCTCCGATGCGATTATTTCACAAGGCGCGCGAGGTGGCAAGTTGGGAATTTTTTTTTTAAAAAAAAAAGGATTTTTTTCTTTAATAGTTTCATTGTTGAGGAATTTTTCCATTTTCAAGGCAATCTGTCACTAAGATGGGAGAGATGGCAGTGTTACCCCCCACCGCCCCTGTATTGGTGTCTATGGCAGTGAAAGTGTTACCCACCATCCCTCCTGTATTGGTGTCCATGGCAGTGAAATTGTTACCCCCATCCCTCCTATATTGGTGTCCATGGCAGTGAAATTGTTACCCCCCCATCCCTCCTGTATTGATGTCCATGGCAGTGAAAGTGTTACCCCCACCGCCCCTGTATTGGTGTCCATGGCAGTGAAAGTGTTACCCCCCATCCCTCCTATATTGGTGTCAATGGCAGTGAAAATGTTACCCCTCCCATCCCTCCTGTATTGATGTCCATGGCAGTGAAAGTGTTACTCCCACCGCCCCTGTATTGGTGTCCATGGCAGTGAAAGTGTTACCCCCCATCCCTCCTGTATTGGTGTCAATGGCAGTGAAAGTGTTACCCCCACTGCCCCTGTATTGGTGTCCATGGCAGTGAAAGTGTTACCCCCCATCCCTCCATCCCTCCTGTATTGGTGTCCATGGCAGTGAAAGTGTTTCCCCCCCATCCCTCCTGTATTGATGTCCATGGCACTGAAAGTGTTACCCCCACTGCCCCTGTATTGGTGTCCATGGCAGTGAAAGTGTTACCCCCATCCCTCCTGTATTGGTGTCCATGGCAGTGAAAGTGTTACCCGCCCCATCCCTCCTGTATTGGTGTCCATGGCAGTGAAAGTGTTACCCACCATCCCCCCTGTATTGGTGTCCATGGCAGTGAAAGTGTTACCCCCATCCCTCCTGTATTGGTGTCCATGGCAGTAAAAGTGAACCCCTCATTTTACAGTGTATTATGTAACAATGTAAATATGTAACTGTGCATCTATTTGTGGCCTTACGGGCCACTCCCACAGCTCTGCTCTCTCTTCTTGTGCAGGGTGACTGGTCTTGTCTCCGCCCCCGTAGTTTTCTGTAATGGGTGGGGCCTCCTGGGCCACTCCCACAGCTCTGTTCTGTTTTCTTGTGTAGAGTGACTGGCCTTGTCTCCACCCCTTCTGGGGTTTTCTGTAGTGGGCGGGGCCTTCTGGGCCACTCCCACAGCTCTGTTCTGTTTTAAATCCTCCATAGACAGGAGGGCATACCATTGTGATTGTGTGCTCGGGATGTGATGGCTCCGATGCGATTATTTCACATGATGCACGAGGTGGCACGTTTTTTTTTTTTTTTTTTTAAAAAAAAAGGATTTTTGAGTAATTCTTTAATAGATTCATTGTTGAGGAATTTTTCCATTTTTAAGGGAATCTGTCACCAAGATGGGAGAGCATGCGCACGTGGAGATTTATTGGTGATACAACGTTCTTGCCAAGTCCTTCAGCATCTGCAACAAGTTTTACGCAGATTGTACCATTCTCTTTGGGTACGGCCATTTTCTCAGCAGCATCCAATCAGAGAGCATTTTCCAGTGCTCTGACCTTAAAGCACGGGTGTCATACCGGTGGCCCTCCAGTTGTTGCCAAACCACAAGTCCCATGAGGCATGTCAAGATTGACAGTTACAAGCATGACTCCCAAAGGTAGAGGAATGATAGGACTTGTGGTTTGGCAACAGCTGGAGGGCCGCCAGTTTGACACCCTTGCCTTGAAGCATATGTGACCCTCTACCTCGTAAAATGGCTAATTTAGTTTAAAAATAGAAATGAAAGGCAAAACATGCTAAAGGCGGATGAATGATTGCTTGGATTGCCCTGCTGCCTTGCAACCAATCACCCACAACCAATCACTTGCTTCCTAACATGAAAAGTCCCTCCTATGTCCAGACCTGCCATGCTTCCCATCTTGTGTGAATAAGGTAGGACGGTGTGGAAAGGTGGGGGAAGGGAGGAGTACTGCGATGTTATGAATGGGACAGACCTGCTGCACCTCAAATGTTGTGCCCTTTCTTGAGGATAATAGCAGCAGGGGCAGGTGGGTGAGCCGGCCGCAGGGAGAGGACATTCAGGCAATTATGTGGTGAGGCTGCAGTCCAGAATGTTTCTGGGTGGTGGAACTAGCCCATATCTCAATGCCTTTCCCGGAATCAAGTGGTTAAGCTGGCCCTCCTGTAATGGGTCTGGGCCCCATCAGTTCAGCAGGGGGTCCAAGGACAGAGATGGGACTCTTTAAATACCTTTGGCCTCATGAACAGTAATACCACAGGCTGTGGCTTCTAATGATTAAATAAAAGTTCCTCAGGCACCTTCAGTTTACCAGCAGGGCCTGGGACAAAGAGGTAGAGTAATACTCTGTACCACGGCTTTTCAGGAGCAGGAAGATTAATACTCTGTGCCACAGCTGTTAGGGAGCAGGCTGAGTAACTCTCTGTGCCACAGCTGTTAGGGAGCAGGTAGAGTAACCCTCTGTACCATGGGTTTTTGGGAACAGGTGGAGTAATCCTCTGTGCCATGGGTTTTTGGGAGCAGGTGGAGTAACTCTCTGAGCCACGGCTTTTCGGGAGCAGGTAGAGTAATTCTCGGTGCCACGGCTTTTCGGGAGCAGGTACAGTAATCCTCTGTGCCATGGCTTTTCGAGAGCAGGCAGAATAATCCTCTGTGCCATGGCTTTTCAGGAGCAGGTAGAGTAATCTTCTATGCCATGGCTTTTCGAGAGCAGGCAGAATAATCCTCTGTGCCACGGCTTTTTGGTAGCAGGCAGAGTAATACTCTGTGCCACAGTCTTTTGGGAGAAGGCAGAGTAATCCTCTGTGCCACGGCCTTTTGGGAGCAGGTGGAGTAATTCTCTGTGCCACAGCTTTTCAGAAGCAGTCAAAGTAATTTTCTGCACCACAGTTGTTAGGGAGCAGGCAGAGTAACCCTCTGTGCCACAGCTGTTAGGGAGCAGGTAGGGTAATCCTCTGCGCCACAGCTTTTCAGGAGCAGGCGGAGTTATCCTCCTTGCCACGGTTTTATGGGAACTGGTGGAGTAATCTTCCATGTCAACAATTAAGTTAACATTACAGCCTCGCCTATAATATCCCCAATGGCAGGCTGAAACGTAAATTACATTGTTGGGAGTCATGGCATGGAGGATTACTCTGCCTGCTCCCTAACAGCCGTGGCACAGAGGATTACTCCTCCTGCTCCCAAAAAGCCGTGGCACAGAGGATTATTATATAACATGAGGAAATGGTCTCCTCTGTGTGCCTGGCCCCTGCTTCTGAACTGATGCAGCTCCGGGACCTTTCATAACCGCTGGGAGCCACGGCTAGCGGGGTTACTGTGCATTCACAATGAGGTATTTAAAGTCCCTCCTCCATGTGTGGGGGGCCGGCACTGTCAGGCAGGCT